AAGCCATTATAAATATATAAAATCATATTAAGAGTAGCACATTATTCGAGAAAACAATCGCTCTGCTATAAAGTAAAGAAATCGTTTGGTGAATACGCATTATCATATGACTAATTACATATACTTTTTAAACGAATTATATCATAATTTAAATATTAATTATACAAATGTATAGAAAATTTTGCGTTAAATACTTTTGATAATATGAAGCATATTTTAATAAATATATCAGCTTTGAACGTATATTAAAATTATTTATTAAAACTGGATAAAGACGCTTATAATATTGTTGAAGAATATAATTATAATAAAATAGTACTAAATATATATTTAATTTTCAAAACATTTAAACTTAAGAAAATTTATTACAGGAAAATAATTGTGATCAAACCTGCTCAATCCAAGTATTGCCCAAGTCAAGCTAGAAATTATTGATGCCTGAAAGTACAAATCTGATCAAATGAAAATCAGAATAAGCGAGTTAGATAGGGCACTGTTGTCTTCTCCTTGGAAGTCGACGATGTTCTCCGGCGGTCTGATCCCAACTGATTGTAGACGAGCAAAATATGAAAGCTGATCGGAACGTCCGATCGGAACACGCAAATAACATTCCAAAATACGAAAATATTTACCTTGATACGTGTGTGTGTTTCAAATTTTCCTATAATACGTTTTCAAGTATCTTTAGTTTTAAAATATGTCGGAAAGCTAAGTAACAGTATAATGGTATATTAGCGGTTATACAGATAAAACATTTCTTGTTCTTCTGCCAATACAGAGAATTATGAGAATTATGAGAATTATATAAGACATTTTTCTGTGTATGGTGGCTTTACTGTACATGCATATACATACGCGCATACACACCTGCGCGCGCATTTAATATACAAGGAGCTTTCGCAATCGCGCGCGCAATGTACCAATCCTGAGCACGTGAATTTCAGATGCTAATTGGCTAAACTTTAATTTGTATAATTTGAAATGTATTATAGTCAACATTTTCCTAAATTTCATAAGAGTTTTCGTTTTAAAATGCTTCTAAGCATTTGTCAGCGAAAAGACATAGTTCTTACATATAATGTATCTTTTATATGAGGAATTATTAAATGTTTATTAAATTATTTGTTATTATTAGACATATTTTTATTCCTTACATATAAGGCTGTTTTAATACCTTTTTAGAAAGAATGATTGTTATATACTGTAATACCTGTTTTAATAATTTGCAAAATGTTATATAAGCGATATTAGTCATTTCTAATTTATTTTAAACAGAATTCGTTGATCTAAAGTAATTAGTTTAATCAAAAAATTCTATCAAAAGTACTAAAAAATACATAAAAAATCACAGTTAATAATTAATTTTGACAGAAGGGATCTACAAGTAATATTATAAAAGATAAATCAAATCTTTTCAAAGATATGTATATAGATAATTCCAATCGACGAATGCATAGGCAATTTGAATTATCGTATAGAATTAAAAAACGTAATATCAACATTTATTTGTCATTCATTCATCGATAGATTACATGGAAATACAATAATTATCATTTGTTAAAAAATGTATAATAACAACAATAAATTATATAAAAAGGTTTAAATATCTTTAGCATATCCACGTAACAATAATTCAGCGAACAGAGTTATAAAAAAATCAAGAATCTAATCTCCAGTCGGGATGATCTGCTCAAATGGAAACCATAATCACATTTTATCGCGCAATCTGTAGAGATATACAAAGCTCTTTTGAATAAAATCTGCGAACCATACTAACATCGCTCAACAAAAATGAATATAATTATAAATTATTTATAAAAAGCAACATAAATTTATTAAATTAAAATAATTGCTATTATTTTAATTTAATAAAATGTAACAATAAACATTTTAATTTTACATGTATATATATATATGTATGTACAAGAAGAAACAAAGGATTATTTTAAAGTTTTTTTAATGATATCGTCATTATATGTATATAATATACAGACTTGGCTAAAAATATTAGGCAACTATTATTTAACATTTTAACTAAAAAAATCGATTTACAGCATTTATCGTGAAAGTATTCTTTGTTTCACCAAAAATTAGCGTAATATGTATTGTATGTATGTACAAATCTTAAGGTATCATAAGCCAATAACAGAATATCTTAAGACAAAATGATTTTAAAATCATTAAGAATCGACTGTGAATACCGGCCTTATCAATCAAATAAAACGAACGCATGGCATTTGTTATTCTCGGTTCTCAGTATAAAATATAATATCGTTTTTCAATTATCCCCGGGGCCACTTGTAATTCTCGGTCGGTGTCTCGGTCGGTGTCTCTTTTCATTAGATTTCTAGTAAACGAAAATATACCTAGATGGCACGGGTAGTAACCTAATCTAATTTAATTATTTTCTTAAAGATTACATTTTCGCTTAAAATAAAAATAAATAGCTGGTCAATTAATAACATAAGAATCTTATTTTTGTTCTGATTATTTGTATATAAATTTCCGAGAATCTCAACAGCAATTAAAATTGCGTGTGTAGTGTTTACAGAGCACGTGTAGTTAACCTCAAATTGTTTCGCGACATGTTTTAAGAGTGCAGTAGGCAACATCTTCGAGACAACATTTCTATATTTGGCAAAAATGCCTGCTCCATGCGAGGACATTATCGAGGACATCGAGGATTTAATCGCGTCGCAGGACATAACGCCCAAGGAGAGGTATAGTTCGCGGAAACATATCACGATACGGCCGAAGCGAAGAAAACAGCTGGAGGAGGAGGTGTCGCAGCCGTCTATCCTGTCGAGCATAATACCCGGCGCGCAAACGATCTACGTGAAAACGTGGGGATGCACGCACAACAGTTCGGACACCGAATACATGGCCGGTCAATTGGCGACGTACGGCTACAATTTGACTGAGGATAAACTGAAAGCGGATTTGTGGCTTCTGAACTCTTGCACCGTGAAGAGTCCCGCGGAAGATCAGTTCAGGAATGAGATAGAGCATGGGAAAAAGATTGGCAAGCACGTTGTAGTCGCTGGGTATGCAGTTGTACAATCGCAATAATACAACAATTTGTAATGCATTATTTTAATGTAGTAATATCACCATTTTTGCAAATTTTATTATGTAGTACATTATGTAGTACTATTTAATTGAAAATTAATGTACAGAATTGTGGACAGTGCAGTTTACCTTTCAATTTTAAGAATAATTCAAAGTTGCTCCAAAATTCTAAACATTTTTTATATCTTACAGATGTGTACCACAAGGGGCTCCAAAATCTTCCTTCCTTCAAGGGCTGAGTATGATCGGAGTGCAGCAAATTGATCGAGTGGTAGAGGTCGTAGAGGAAACGTTGAAAGGAAATACAGTAAGATTCTTACAGCAGAAAAAGGATTCTGGGAAGAAATCGGGCGGTGCTTCGCTGAATCTTCCAAAGGTGCGCCGGAATCCGCTCATCGAGATCATAGCCATTAACACGGGCTGCCTGAATCAGTGCACCTATTGCAAGACGAAGCATGCGCGGGGTGAACTGGGTAGCTATCCCCCGGAGCAGATAGTCGAGCGGGCCAGGCAGGCCTTCGAGGAGGGTGTATGCGAGTTGTGGCTCACGTCGGAAGACACAGGCGCTTACGGCAGAGACATTGGCACCAGCCTGCCGGAACTGCTGCGGCAACTGGTGGACGTGATCCCCGACGGTTGCATGATGCGCGTCGGCATGACCAATCCACCGTACATCCTGGAGCATTTGGACGAGATGGCCAAGATCCTGCGGCACCCCAGGGTCTACAGCTTCTTGCACATCCCGGTGCAATCCGGCAGTGATCAGGTGCTGGCCGACATGAAGCGGGAATATACGCGTGCCGAGTTCGAGCACGTAGTGAACTTTCTGGGCGAGCGGGTGCCCGGTCTAACTGTTGCCACGGATATTATTTGCGGTTTCCCCACGGAAACGGAGATGGATTTCGAGGAGACGATGACGCTCTGTCAGAAGTACAAGTTCCCAAGCCTCTTCATCAATCAGTTCTTCTCGCGACCCGGCACGCCCGCCGCGAGGATGCCGAAAGTACCTACGCAGAAAGTGAAGACGAGGACCAAGAGACTGTCGGAATTCTTCCAGTCGTACGAGCCATACGGCCATAAAGTGGGACTGCTGCAGAAGGTGCTAGTGACGGAGGTATCGCATGATAAGCAGCATTACGTGGGTCATAACAAATTCTACGAACAGGTGTTGATTCCGATGAAGGAGGAGTACATGGGGAAAATGGTCGACGTAAGGATTACAGAAGCGACGAAGTTCTCTATGAAGGGAGAACCGATCGGTAAAGGTGTGTCCCCGGCACTGAAATCTCCTTTGCCACAAGGAGTCGTTTCCACAGTATCGTACGAAACGAAGCCGTCGAAATACGGAATAGTAACAATCACAATGATCTTTTTAGCTGTGATACTTAGAATATTATGGAAATTTCTGACTTAGAAACACATAATTTGTACAAGAATCTGTAAATCAATTATACAAACACACTGAAAAAGTATGTTATAAATTGTAATTTTATATCCGTAATAGAATAAATACTTTTAAATATTTATTTAAAGTTAAAATAAGCCTTATGAGTTTTGAGTAAAGAACACACAAGATTACGCGAAAAAATATTTATATTTAACTATATTTAATTGACAATACAGGAACCTACCCTGAAAGGGCTTACAACATTCAATTAGCTTAATGCACATTTGCTATAATAATTCGTTGACTTCTGAACGCATTTTCTAAAATCGTTTATAACATATAAATTCGAAATTCTCCAGATATAAAATATAATAATAATATGCGGAAGTTATTGAGCATTCTCGCATTTTGTTGAAGTATATGTCGAGCAAATGTATCAAACTTATATACTAAACATGAAAATATGTTCGCTTTTATAAAAATATCATTATTTTTCTTATTGTATATTGAGGCATTTTATTTGGTATCACTTCTTCTTAGCTAAAGAGATTTTTTTTTTTAATATAACTTAGACTAAAGAATATATCGGATTCCTGCCAAAATATTTCCTGAGTATTAAAGTCCATGGATCATTATTTTGAAGATACCAAACGGAATATTGCTTATATGAATTGGAGTATCGAAACCGATTACATTTAGTACTAATCTCAACAGTTATGTATCGAAACAAAAAATGCGTTTTCTTTTATAACTTAGTGATGTAGGGCAAGCTAATGAATCGATATATATCAGTTAAATTTGAAATTTAAAATTATTCAAGTCTTTCAATTAAAATAACAATTTCGATTTAGATAATACAATAAAAAATTAAAAAATATCCGATATAAATAATTTAAAAAATTCTAATGAGTACCTGTGTGTATAAATCGCTATATTATCAATAAAATTTTCTCGCTTGGATTATTTCGTAGGTAACGAATAAGTTCTAATCTATTTTCTGTTTAGAGAGCATAAGAGAGCAAATAATTAAACGAGCATAACTTGAACAAAAATGTGAATGCAAAAAATAAAATAATAAAATGATAAAATTTGTCTCCTTTGCCAATGTTAAAAAAAAATTCACTAAAATAATTAAAATTCATAGGCAAATCTTTTTGCTAAAGACTACACAGCAATCTGCGAATAGAGAGACGGCGTTAATCACATAATATAATAAATGTTTTTTTTTAATCATTTTAACAAGAACATTTAAATTAAATACCAATCACGAGACTTTTTCGCGTGCTTACAAACATTACAAAATATATTACTATTCGCTCACAGTTATTTACATACAGTCTTTTTTTCGCATACATCGATATAAAAACAAGAGTATAAATATGGGACGAAATAACGCTACTTTTAAAAGACATGAAAACGTTAAAGTTGAATTAAAAAAATGCACGAACGAAAAAAAAGAAAGCGAAATGGTATAATATAATGGTATATGGCACCTCATTATTTTTAAGGATTTTACTCAAGGACGAAAAATGCCGAAACGCATGCTCTTCCTTTCTCCCTTGTAATTATATCAGTGTTTAAAATATGGCAATTATTATGGCGTGAACTTAATCATGGCACAAGTGTTGAGTTCTTCATACCGGCTTCTGACATCAGGAAGTGCGGAACAAAGAGAATCTTTTTTTTCCTGAATATCGAATTTCTCGCTTTCGCGTAAAATATTTTTTTTCTTCGTTAATCCATAATGTATCCAATAAAACGGGATTATTAAAATGTGAGTCGTATTATTGCGAGAGAATAATTTTCTTACCAATTATGTGACTATCCATTTTTTTTCGCTTTCTATTCTGGCACTAATTACATCTCACGCACTTGCATTCAATTACGCCTAATTTCGATAATATTTATCGAGCGAATCAAGCGAGAGTACGGTATTTGTATACAGACTCGCGTCGAAGAGAGAAGAGAACGTGGACTCCTGTAAAATGTAATTTTAACGATATTTACTTGATGTACAAAACAGAAGGTGATGTATGAGAATGATGTCCTACAAATTTGAAAGTTTAGAGGACACATCTGTTTTCCTATTCTTTCTTAATTGTTGTAAATATCATATTACAAACAATTGGAATCATATCTGGAGATAGTTATCAGACTTTGTCATAATTCGTCCCATTCTCATCTTTCTTTTCGCGAAGTTAGCATTAAATAATCTGTTAAAAGTAAGGATTAATCGCGGATAGTTGCTCGTGTCGTCCTGTTGCGCAAGATTGAAGGGGAAAAACGTTCGCCGAAATAAATAGAAACTCGGTACGTTTCTATTTATACTTACATATGAGAATGGTAAAGCCGAACCAAGCCGTTAGACGAATGAGAGAATTCGTCTCGCTCGCATCTCGACATCAGAATTCGCGACTCGGCGGTTACCGATGTTTTACGATTCCCGTGAGAGAAAAGAGGGAGGAAGGGAGAAAGAGCGGTTTCTGCGGACGGGCCCCAACCGCAAGAAACGCGCGCGCGGGCCCTCCGACTCTCTCCCCGTCTTCATTAAAGGGGCTGAGAGAGCGCCCGGTAAAAAGCGGAATATCCGGGCGACGCAAAGTGTTTCGCCGGTACCTTACGTGGTTTTACGACCGTTGCCTTTATGGCTTCTCATTTCTCCTTTCCCTCCCGCATTCGCATTCGCATTCGCATTCTCTTCTTTTCTTCCCGTGCCCCGCCGAGGGTATTCTCCCCTGATCGCTAGCCTCTCATTCTCTCTCGCTCCCTTCCATCTCTCTCGTCCTCCGCTTGGTTGCATCGCTCGGGGCGGAATTTATTCCCGAGGATCGACGAGGACTGGAGAGAAGGATTCGGTTGCACGCATCGTCCACCGACGTCGTTCGGAAGATTTAAGCCGTACTTCGGCATCAGCCCCCTCGTGGTGTCGACGGATCGGAGTAAATTAGGGCGTTCGTGGATTTTACGGCGTTTAAAAATCATTCACAAGCGGCATTTACGGCGATTAAATATGCTTATGCCACCTCGTAAGCTAATATGCTATATATGCCAAAGTACCCTTAAGGCATTTTCTCGAGTTATGAAGATGTGTATCGTATCGTTGCGTTACGCAACCGAATTCGTCTCTATCTATACGCAACGAGCACACCGCCGTCACATTGGTTTCGCTCCAAACGCTCGCAATAAACTAAAAATTAATCACTAGAATATTAATTTTTCTTTCAAATTAGACTATAAAATCTCTTTTGACTCTCGACGGCTACGGTATTAGACACATTTTTATCTATAATACATTTGTTCCCCTCGATAGGAGTCGACGTGACTCCCGTAACTAGACTAGTTCTTTCCTCGCGAATGATCGGGACGCGGTTTGACGAAAAAGGAATCGATTTACAATCGACGCAAATTCCGTTTGCTCTGTCTCGAGCCGACAATCAGGCGTTTGTTGTTGCGCTTCGTCGGGGTGGCCAGTAAGGACATTTTACACGGGCCCGCGTGCGGCTTCGACGAACAGGAGATGCAGAACTCGATAGAGCAGCCCTGCCTCGTGCAAGCACCCATGTTCTTCTCGCTGTCCACGTGACTGGGAAAGCTACACCTTGGACACCGCAGCAGGTACTCGCCACTTGCGAGCTTACGACTAGCCTGTAACGAGAGAAAAGATCATTGTTAATTACCGGAGAATAACAATTGAAAATGATGAACAAAAACATAAATTAATTATTTAATAACTAACAGACGGAGAAAGAATATTTTTTGAACACAAATGTCATACATATTTCTAAATACATTTCTAATCATTTTTAATTTTTATGTGTAAAGCAAATCTAAATTTTTTTATGTGGAAATTATAAGTCTTAAACAATCATTCGAATTAAAATTATGTGAAAACTACGATCTATGAAGTTAGGATCCTTTGAAGCCTCTCTACTAATCTTCTGTTAAAAATTCTACGTCATGGAAACATACTGGTTTACATAGCATAAGCTACGAGTGATAGGTCGACGCTTCCCGCCTTTTGAGTAATAATGTTTTGAGTAATTAATGAGATTAGATGCGCCGATATGCACCTGCTCGTCGAACGTGACTTAAATTGCGTTAACGCGAGGTGAATGGTGCGACGAGGCGCTCAATACATGGATTAAGAGAATTAAGTTATGAACGTCTTTCGGAAAGAAATGAGACGTGAAGATTGGAACTTGATAAGTTCAATAAGAATGAAAAGAATAAAACTTTCTACAAAGTTAATCCTCTAGTTCTCCATGTATTATAGCAATCATTAATTTTTCAAAATTTGTATTATAGATATTCTGCAAGTGATATTAGTAATAAATTAGGAAAAATCTTTCTCTGTAAATTTAGCAAAAAATATATTATATTCTTTATTCACATTTTGAAATTATAAAAAAAAATTTAATACTATTTTATGAAAAATTCTATCAAGAAATACCAAAGAATATTTGCTTTGCTATACATTATCTCAGTCTCTTGAGATCTCATATCTCATATTTCATTTCTCTTAAAAGATTTTTCTTTTAATTGCAAATTTTATCGCTTGCAATTGTTATTATTCCTACTATTATTATTAAATAAATATAATGCGTGATAAAACGTAGATAGAGTGATCAAAGTACGATCGTGTATAAAGTTGACGAAGCTGAGAACGCGAATTGTCCGCGGCGGTAGTCGATACTTTTGAACCGCTTTTCTTAGAACTTTGATAACAAGAACTATCGCGTAACTTCCATACCGGAGAGTTGCAAGAAGACAGACGACGAAAGAAATGCGAGCATGCATTTCTCTTCTCGACTTACCGAAGTGCGTTTCAACTTTGATAAGAGAAAAACAGCAGTAGGAATTAATGACTGAGAAACGTAGAGAGACATAGAGAAACATAGAGATGAAGAGACAAACACATTAATATAAATTCATCATCCGATTCGTCTGATGATTTAATATCAAAGTTCATTGGAATTCAGTCATAACTGTAAAAATTGCAATTTAAAATTTTCATTAAACGAGACAAGAACATTGCTGTGTAAAAGAAAGAAAGTGCATCGTCATCCTCGCACGCTCTTCGTTCTTATTCGCAGTCTCGGGATCGTCTCGCAGCAGCGCATCGCTAATAAACGAATGCGTGAAAGAATTTGTACGAGAAGCACACTCGAAATGAAGTCGATCCGTCTATCATGACATGTTGAACGTACCCTTTTTACATTTAAAAAAAAAAAAAGAATATTTTTTTTCTCTCTCTTCAAAATGTATATCAAAATATTATTCAAATATACATATATGTATACATAAGAATGACAGAATATCTAGACAGTGACATACAAGTGCGCATTTGACAGATATATTGATTGGGGCCTGTCCTCTGCTCTTATTTACTCTCGATCGCAACTAAATTCGAGAAATATTACAAGCGGTGCAAGATTAAGGCAACAATGTAACAGTTGATTCGAGGGGCGCACATGAATGAGATCGATAAAAATTTTACAAAATTTCAACAAAAACATGTACAAGACATGTTACACAAAGAATCCATTTTTCGAATGAGACGTTATCGCATAATTAACACTTTAACATTGGCCTCTTTCACATTTACAGCAATGGCAACATCTTAATAAGTTATTTTATTTATTATTAATTAATGTAGTGTATTAATGTTTAATTAAATTAAAACTATTCCGAATGCGATAAATTGTATAATTTAATAATATACAAGCACTTGTATTATATTGTGTAATCTTAATGAAAATTAACTTCAAAGATGGTAGAGATTTTAACTGTCCTTTTTTAATAAAATAATTTTAATTCAAAGAGAAACTCTTTGATAAATTTTAAATAAATGCAATTACATTCAAAATACAAATTTTTTCCCATCGCTTTTCCGTCGTCACATCTGAACGCAGTGGTTGTTGGGATTCAGTTGGGATCCTAAGCATACAATGTAGAAACTGGTCTGACACAATCCCTACGCTATCTTGGCTTTTCCGAGAACTATTACTAACACGACTATCTTCAAAAAATCTACACACATAGTAGCATCATTTTAATATTAATGTAACCCACCAATATTTTAAATTCCAGATAAAGAGCTGATCAAACGTATAAAACAGGAAGTTGATGATAACATCCTGTCTAGCTTCAACGTTTTTTTATAATTTTTCATAATTATACAAAACGACATATACAAGCAGAAATTTTTCAAAATATCTCAATAATTATTTCTTTTTTTAAATATTAATTTATGTTTTGTTAATTGTATATTATATTTATATTTTAGACAACTTTTAACTTAAATATTTTAACTTATTTCAGCGATAAAAAATTGTAATTGTTAAAAACTAACTAATAATACTTAGTAGTATAAATAAAACTTTCAAACAGCATAATGATATTTTTTAATAATTAACGTTATTCAACAATAAACAGTAATTACTTTTTGATTAAAACTAAGAAAACATGTTTAAAAACAACGAATTTGTTTTTAAACATGTTTTCTTAGTTTTAATCAAAAAGTAATTATTACAAGTAATTATTACAAAAAGTAATTGTTTACTCAATATAATGATATTGGTAGATCTTGCTTCAAAATATCAATATCAACTATCACAAATATCGTTCGTAGCGGTTTAAGTCAACATACATAACGTATGATTTCCGCAGGGACCCCGTATAACGAACATCCGGTTGGAATGCAACAATGTGATATATTATATAAAGACATTTTCCCATATTTATTTTTACAATTTCTATTCATCTCTTGCTGATAACTACTACAAAATATATATTTTTCATAAAATTGCAAAAAGAGGCACACACAATGTTTAATACATAATTTTCAATTTAATTTAGAGAATATTTATATCATAAATTTATTTTTAACTTTAAAAAATACTAACTCTATATCATATTTTCTGTTTACTATCCAAATCTTATTAACAAATTTAAATGCAACTTTGTGTGAAGATCACTATTAAGAAGAGAGCTCCTTTTCAATAGAAGACTATTCTTCAACAGAAGACAACTGACTTTCGTGAAATATTATTCCGGGTATTCTTTATTTCGTAAGAGCCGCTTTTATTAATGGCTGTAGACCGATCTCGGCAGCATAGTTGCGTCTGTGGCAACTTAATGAGGAAATGTAGAAATGGGTAGAACCCCTCGTGGTCCGGCGGGGACTGCTACAATATAGCAGATGGCCTGAGCAACTCTGTATCTCCCGCATGTGAAGGGTTCACCGATCTTCACGAAGAAAACCGCTCGTCTACGTTCCATAACAGCCACACACTACTATTCTTGTGGGCCACGCTTGCCCGGCACTTTGTAGCACGGAGAGAAAAATTCCTTCCCACAAATCGGAAGGGACGGACTAAAAGATTTTAACACACAAAACCGTTCTCATTTCATGGAATTCATTTGCAACATAGCAGTAATTCCTCTTTAAAAAATTCGTATCTAGAAATAATATAGCAACATTTCTCATAATATGTCGGCAATAAAAAGATTATTTTTAAGTTAATAAAATGTATGATTAGATAAAATCTTGTAATTTTTTGTAAATATATAAAACGTTTTTAATGTGGAGACAAAGTGTAGAATATCAGCGTATTATCTGCGAGTGCGTTGCAAGAAAGTGTCGCGCGTGTGCCGCATATCGTAACAAAGCAGTCTTTGATATCGCGTCTCTTTTCCTTAGCTGTCCGGCAACCGGATATAGCGTATCCGAAAATGTAGAAGTTGATAACAGTTGATAACGTGTAGTCGAAAACTTCGAAAAAGCTATGAACGATTTACACATGCAGAAAAAGAAATCATCAGGTAATAATTTATAATTCTTACAATATAGAATTTTTAAAAACTGATTATGTCCACTAGCCGCTTTTCATTTGCCAGCATTTTTTACTCGATTCACTACTCAAGTAATATTTATTCGTTTGACAAATTTTCATTCTTCAAATCATTTTTTACCAAAATGCGATAATATACCTAATTGAATTATATATATAAATGATAAAAATTGAGTGACCAAACACATCATATGCAGATTGTTTTACAAAATTCGTTTAGGTTGAAAAATAATCGAAATATGATTTATATGCCAAGCTGAAGTTTAGAAATAATATTCTGAGAATCGGTGATTGTAATGCTAATGATTTCTGCTCAACGAAATAGGGATGTCAAATTAGATTAATTATTATTAATCGATCAATTTCAATTGAAATGCAAGACCAGTTTAAAGTTAAAACCGAAAACTCAATTTAAATTTCTAAAGAATCAATTTACGCGAGAATAATGGTACAAAGATATTTTCAGAAAATGGCAAAAGTCACTATAATGTTAATAAAGCAATCGATTTCGAAATGATAAATAAAATTGATAAGAAACCAATAGTAATCTATAAGATAAATCGGCATTGCTATGGGACGTTCTACAGAAGTTTATCAAATTAATGTGTTTCGTAGAATTTCTTTGGACAATACTGACACTTTTAGCAAACGAGCATGATTATGATGCTAATATCTTTGATCGTACGATCGCGCGGATTTTTGCAGCCGGGCATCTTGACAAATTCGGGCCATTTGTCCGCGTCCCTTCGTCCATCGGATCGAATTAAGGTGTGTCCGTAATTCGATATCTTC